AAATGTATCTCTGCATTTAACCCATCCCGTTGGGGGGCAGTGGGCTGCCATTGTGCGGCGCCCAGGGAGCAGTGAGGGATTAAGGGTTTTGCTCAGGACCCAGAGTGGAGGCTGTGGGGATTGAACTGGGTACTTGCAGCCTGCTCAGTGCACAGGCCAACACTCCCCAAAACCAAAAGCAAAACCTCTAACTGAGGTAAGGAGGTTGTTTCCCAAAATCTGGCAATACATGGCCAGGATCATCCTCTCCTTAATACAGTGCAGTCATCCTGTCCCATATGCAGAAAAAAGACCCCAAAAGCACGATGGCACCACCCCCATACTTCACAGTAAGGATGGTGTTCTTGGGATGGTACTTGTCACTCATCAGTAGAATTATGACCAAAAAGTTCTATTTTGGTCTCATCTGACCACATGACTTTCTCAAATGACTCCTCTGGATCATCAGAATAGTCATTGGCAAACTTAAGGCGGGCCTTGAAATGTGCTGGTTTAAGCAGGGGAACCTTTCGTGCCATGCAAGATTTCAAACCATGACGTCTTTATTACCAACAGTAACCTTGGAAACGGTGGTCCCAGCTCTTTTCAGGTCATTGATCAGCTCCTCCCGTGTGGTTCTGGGCGTATTTCTCACTTTTCTGAGGATCTTTGAGACCCCACGTGGTGAGAATCAGTCAGAGGGAAATTGACAGACATGTTTAGGTTCTTCCATTTTCCAATGATTGCTCCAACAGTGGACCTTTTTTAATCCAGCTACTTTGGCAATTTCCCCATCCCCCTTTCCAGCCTTGTGGAGGTGTACAATTTTTTCTCTAGTCTTTTGTCTTTGGATGGCTATTTGGTCTTGGCCATGTTAGTAGTTGGATTCTTACTGGTTGAATGGGATGGACAGGTGTCTTTTTGCAGCGAACGACCTCAAACAGGTGCATCTAATTTAGGATAATAAATGGAGTGGAGGCGGATATTTTGAAGTCAGACTAACAGGTCTTTGAGGGTCAGAAATCTAGCTGATAGACAATTGTTCAAATACCTATTTGCAGCTATATAATACAAACAAATAGTTAAAAGATCATATATTGTGATTCCTGGATTATTATTATTTTTTTTAGATTGTTTCTCTCACATTGGACATATGCTTCCATGATTTCCATGAACTTGCAAAACAGCAGGGTGTTTAAATACTTATTTTCCTCACTGTATATTTGATATTTTTTTACAAAGTGATTCTATTGCGATCCAGTACTGGGAGAAATAAGTTGTTTTTGGCAGATATAAATTGGCCTAAAGTCCCCTTCCTGATAGACGCTGTCAGAATCTAAAGCACACAGAGGGAGTCTTCAGACCTGAACATGAATTTTAATCTTTTGATTGGCAACAGTTGTGTTTTTAATCCCTAAAGTATCTTCCTTAGTCCTAATTTTGCAGCTTTATCTTGTTTTTATCTTGCTATGCATGATGCATTTCACTTGTTTCCTTGATAAATCTGTACGGGTTTTTTTATGCGTTAAAGAAGCCTCGTCATCCCACATAGGGTGAATAGAAACGGAACTAGTTTTGTAAACATATTTAATCACATGTATTTACAAAACAGATATTAGAAATCTTTCAATTTCTAATCAGTCTCCTTTTGTTCCTTCAAAAAAACTAAATTCAAGGTCCAGTTTGGAGTCCATTTTACAGTCATTTTAGAAACCTGGGGATGCGAATGAATCAAAATCAGTTCTGCAGATGTTAAGATAAATTAGATTTCCCTTTTCTGTCCAGGCTGTCAGCTGAGCTTAAGGACATCATGTCCTGCTTGTAGCCCTTTTGCAAGATTTAGCCAATTAAAGTGTCCATTTTCCACCAGGCAATGAAGAAACAGCTGCTCCTCTGATTAGCTTCAAATTATGTGGCTTGTAGGTTACACAGTTAACCTAGTTTCTATTTTACTAAATGTGATTCATAATGTCACAGTTTTACTAAAAAACTGGTTGAACTGTTGCAGGGTAAAGACTGCATTTGCTCCTTATTCTCTGTTTTTGTCTTTAAAGGATTGTATTGGTTGCTTAGCAACAAATTGAATCAGCACTGCTTTGATTTTTCTGTCTCTGTAGAGAGTATTTAGACTTCAGTATTCTTTAAATAGCTGAAATGACAGCAGTCTGAAGAAATTTCTTTCAATCTGATTTCAAACTGCCGTTCTTTGCATCTTTAACATAATGTTATATTTTAGTGTAAACGCAAACGCAACCCTGCTGTGCTCTTGTTCTCAATACCCTGGTTTCTCACGGTTTCTTTGTCAGCCAGTCATATTGATAAAGCCTGATATACTATATCTGCTCTTCTGGAGAATTTTCTTTGTTATATGAGAGGTTTCCTCCCCTTAACCTTCAGATAAAGCCTTACTGTTGGAAATTAATCCAGTATTTCTACCAGCTTATAAACAGCTTGAGAGATGGAGGACGAGGGTTCATCTGAAGAATGTATCACACCGCTGTGGTCTAAATTCTGAGCTGTAATTGTACCTGATGCATTGTTCTGCAGATATACTTTAGCAATATCAGTGAAAAGGAACCATACAATGTAATTTATTTATTGTCTGACAACACTCATGCCAGGATTCTGAAATAAGGTGGGTTACACTTTGTTAAACCACTTAAGAAACCCAGCGGGCTTCAGTTTTCCTCACGTTTTTTGAAAGTCCAGCATTGTCTTTTATGATAAGACTAAAAAACCTTTGCATTTGAGCTGTAACCCTACTGACTATAACAAGCCCTCTCTCAACTACTGTAGCAGCTTACATGCAATTTATGCACACTTTGGAGTTGTTTGTGCTTCTCTACAGCTTTGACAGGAAGCGTGGAAAATATGAGCTCCGTATACCAAGGGTCAGATCATGTCTAAAAACAAATGTGATTCAGCAACATAACTGCATTCTTTTGGCCCGAACCTAAGGCTTTAACTTTATTTCTGTCTGATATTAAAACACTATGGCAATGATATAAAATAAAAAATCAGAATATGATTCCTTCAATCTCCACCACCGTGCCTTTGGGTTATCTACGAAGATTTCATGTGCAGAGTTAAAATACAAAGAATAAGACGTTATTTAAAGCATAATGATGAATATTACTTTTAGTGTTCTTTACTTTTATGTAACTTAACATGCTGCAAACAAAAGTAAAAAAAAATGAAAATACAAACAGATGAAAATAACCATAAGAAGATTAAATATCACTCATAAAACCTGGAAAAGTCCACTTTGTATCCTCCGACAGGGAAGGGACTATGGTCAGAGTGACAATGAAATCTGGATACAGCTTGATTTACCTTTATACGATCCATTATACCCAAAATATTGCAAAACAAGAATAAATTAATAAAACATATCTGTGTTTAGGAATTAAAACAACACTGGAAAAACACATGTAACTTCATTACTAGAGTTAGAGATGCCTCTTGGCACCAATAATACCTGTTCACAGGCTCTGTAACGGTTGTTCTATGGGGGACTTTTAATATTCAGTTGTATTCTTTGTTTATTTTTTTTTATTGTATAAAAAGGGTTTAAAATGTCAGTCATTGCTTTTATCTCCCTCACATTAGTATGTGTTGGGCTGCACAGATGGTTTGTTCTCTATTAATATTATTCTGTTATTTTTATGCCTGTTTATGTTTCCACACCCAAATACTTTCTATTCATGGTAGAGTGTACCAATTCCTACGGAAGAGGATTAGGGCCACTGAAAAAAAAAAAAATTAAGTTATTTTTTTTTTTTTTTTCAGTTTAATATGGGAAAAAAGTCAGAATTCTGACTTT